ATTTGCTGCGTCGTTTGTGTTGTTTTTGAATCAAGAACATTTCGTAATAAATATTTTAACTAAAAATAAATGCATAATATATACGAGTTTAGTTAAATTAATAGCAAAAATAAGTCAAAATTTGTTAGTTAAAAATTTAATAATAAGTGAAAAAAATTCAGATAAGATAAAAACGTATAACCTCTTCTGACCTCCATGAGAGATCATATACATTAATGATCGAAGAGGAACTTTCTTCATCATCAGTTTCACTGATCTCCAACGAATGATACGAATAATTAGCTAAAAGTTTTAAAAGAGGTCATTTTTCGTAATACGTAACTTGGAAATCATTTTTTTTATAGAGATCTTTAGTGGCTCTCAGTTTTCGTATTTTTTTCTGATTGATAAAATTTAGACAATTTTAGTGTAAAGTGAAAAAATACCATCGAATTATATTATATACTTCATTTGCTCGATTATTTGCGTGAGTTCTCCGAACATCTGCTGTATAGTTGCAGGGCAAAACCCTAAACCCATTTTGGCAAAAGTCGAAACTTTTCAGAAATTGTTTTGACAGTTTCGATGGGTTTCGACGGGTTTCGATGAGTTTTGATAGGTCGCGAAAGTTTTGACGGTTTTGATGGTTTCGATAACAACTTTGCGAATTCTTAAAAAGAATGTGAATATATACTATCTCACATAGACTATTGCATAGATCATTATATCGGATGATTGCTTCAAGAATAAAATTAAGACCTTATCAAAAATCATAGTGTTGAGTTAAAAAAATTCCAAATAATGAAAATTTTTTTTAATGCTTAACATGGGGGGTAGTCGCAATATAAAAAATATAGGTATCATTTTTATTTTTTTTAAAAAAAAATAAATAAAATTAAATATTCCTTAAAGATTAAAAATTCTCACATATGTACTACAAAATGAGAAAGCGAGTAATTTTATTAACCGTTCGCCCATGAATGATGGAGATGAATATTCATCAAGTGGAATATCATTTAATAGAAGCTCGTAGTCATACGAAAAATTTTATACGTATAGTTATGACTCCATCATTTGTTAACCAAATTTTGATATGGTCTAAAATCTTTATATTGATGATATTGAGAGAATTCGAAGAATTCATTCAGAGTTGAAAATTTTGTTATATATTTCATGGTAACACCAAAATCGATTCTTCATCTTCCTATTGGTGGATTCCGTCAAAAAATTTGATGAATGATTTGACAAATATTATACACGACGAAGAAAAGAAACCGCTAAAACTCCTTTTGATGAACTGACCACTCACAACAGGCTGATCAGTTAACACCGATAGCATCGTCAAAACATTTGCCCCCGTCGAAACTTTTGCCACCCGTCGAAACTTTCGCAATTTTGCCTTTAATAAAAAAATTTGGCAAAATGTTTCGATGGGTTTCGATTTCGATGCCTGTCGGAACCTCGGGGTTTTGCCCGGCAACCTTATTATTGACCATTGTTAAAGATTTTCTGTATTCTTGATGAAGTCATCATCACGACATGCCTTAATTTTTTTTTCAATTTCTTCAATAAGTTTACTATTAATTTCAGCATAAATTCTACTGAGGTCCGCATCAAGCAAGCATTTAATTTTGTATCATGTACGGAAAAATCATTGGAGAATTTTTTGTTTGAGAAATAACCATATAGTAGCGATCCTTATTGAGTATCGATGAACTAACAGAGAAATAAACAGTGGGTAAAGGACAAAAATGGAATGATGTTAAACTGATTAAATAAAAAAATGCATGTAGAATCTGTTTTACTTGTTAAAGTTTTTTGTTAGAGTTATTTGAAAGAATTGTTATTTGATTTTTTTTTCTTTTAAGCGAACAGATTTTTTAATAACGTTTCAACATAAGGCCATAAGACGGAATTATTTACCAATCAGAAATAAAATGAACATATCTTTGAAACTAAGTTCGTTCACGTTCGTTATTAGCATGCAATATGATAATCATTAATTAATTATTACATTTGCATAAAGAATTTCCTTTATAGTAAATAAAAAAAATAAAATAATGACATGAAATAATCCTTTTTAGGACTTATCACCGATTATACTAAACTTTTAATCCCTTGAAATTCTTGGTAAAATATTTCATATAAGGTTGATATTAAGATCATATCATCGATAGAACTTTTGTCGTGGCAACGACTTGTAAAAGATGATGTCATTTTTTTTTGTTATGTTGGATTACGCTGAATTTTCATGTGATAACATTATATCGAGATTCATAAAAGTTTATTTGTTGATTTAAAATGTTGGTTTTTTAAACGAAATATGTTTGAATTTTTCCGAATAAAAATAACCAACACTGTATGCTTGGTGATACAAACCAAATGATCCTTTAAATATTGTGGCTGGAATTTTTCATCGAATGAAGGTCAGCAGATTAAATAAGTGGGTTTTTATTGCACCTAGGTTGTTGAAGGATAGTGTGACCAAATAAAACGAAAAGGTACCAAGATCGACACATCATTTGCAATGAGTCAAGCTCATTATGGTGGAAAAAACGAATATTATCAAAGATGGATATCTAGATCAAAAGATCTCATGATGTTTTTAGTTAAAGTTTGAGCGAAGTATTAGGTAATCCCAGTTTGTTTCAACCGGTTACTATGAATTTTTTTTTCAGCCGTAAACATTTAATTGTTTCCTTGATTAATTTGTAACTTTGCCTTTATAAGGAAGATAAATAACGACGACGCAACGTTTCAGATATTTAAAACGATAAAATTTACTCCAATTCATTGGTTGAATTAACAAGTTGATGGATGAAATTTCCCTTGGCCGCTTTTCCCCTTACCTCCTCATACCATTTTTCCCCAATCTCTTATCAAGAAAAATGGAGCATTTTCCTTGATTTACGATTTGTTTATTCAAATGACGTCTTATCGACGACACACGCGGGAGTACATAATACGAGAACGAAGATCATAAATAAATTTTTTGAATATGATGATTTTGTTTTGAAAATTATTGTTTGGAATATCTAATTTAATTCTCCAAGACGCCAGTGATGATGATCCATTAGCAGGATGATATAAATTGATATAAATAAAAAGATCACTTATTCGGAGAACCCGACGCTACGTTAAGAATTTTGATAGGTTTAATTCAACAATGACTTAACGTTGTGCGAATTATTATTTTAAAACCATTTCGCAGGGAATTTCTTAATTTTTTTTTTCTTTTGTAAATTCTTATGGTGACAAATAAGGTTGTTCATCAAATAGTAAAATTCCCGTTCATCTATACCCAATTCATACATTTCCCGGCGAGATATTTCCCCTCATGCATATTACAATGTTAAACCAATTTTGACCTTATGCAACCAATTAATTACGCAACATTCCTCCTTCCAAAGGCTTGCATAAAATTTGTGAGATTCAGAATTTACCTTTTCATTATTGATTACAAACATTTTCTGTGGGGGTGGGGGAAAGAGATGCAAGTTGGTTGTAAATCCCGATTTCGTAATTACACAATTTAGAAAAATGATTGAAAATAGTCCAAACGTTCTTCAAAAAAAAATAAAATAAATAACATATATTTTATTTTCCAGGCCCGTGTTTCAAAATTGATAATTGTGATGATTAATACTCTATTTGGAATATTATTTTTATTTTTATTTTTATTTTTTTTTTTTTTTCAATGACCTGACTAATAAGAATTAAAGTTTCAAAAAGGAGAAAAGAAAAAAGAAAAAGAAAAAAAGATTTCTTCAAACTAACGTGGGAGGATTATGAATATTAACATTGATGAAAAGAAAGAAGTTCTTATTTAATTACCGAAGGCACGCTCAAAGAAAATGGAAATTCAACAATTTTCCTTATTATAATCGACGAAAATGGGTTTAAAAAAAGGGTTCTTTGTAGATATTTGCAAGTGATTTCAACCGTTATATTGTTTTTTAAATTAGTATGATATATTTTGGATGATTTGTGGTTTTAAATGAACACAATTCCGAATTAGCTGGGTTATTACTAATTATTGTTAGTCGGAAAAAGGAAGATCGTAGACCCATATTACTCACACATGACTGATCGCCCCAATATTTCGCGTTTCAAAGTAAGATTTCAAAGCCAAAAACGTTTTTGATTCCTCGATGATCTCCATCATGGTAATCAGACATATGAAGATATCCCATGATTAACGATTAATTGAACTTGTAATAAGTATCTCTTTTATTTCTGTTTAGAATCAAAAAAAAAAATTACGTCGATCCCAAAGGTACGATGTCTTTGATAGCTTATCGATTACATAAATTATTTTAATTTAAAAATCCAAATAACTATTGATGACTATGAAAGGGAATGTTTAATAATAATAAATAATCATATTTGATCTGAAAAAATATACAGTGAATAGTTTAAAAAGTTAATCATAATAATATTTACGTTGTGATTACGGGTGACACACCATTTTCTTATAAATAGACTTCCCACCAAAAACCACAGACAACACGGTGACCGACACTCCCACGAAATTTTTTCATTTTCTTTTTTTCGAGTAAATCCGTCTTTCTCGCATAATTTAGATTGTTCCCAAGTTCTAAAAATATTATAGTTATTTCGATTTTATAATTTATATTTTATTTATATTCAACTGGTTAAGTTGAATATTAGAGAATATATATTATAAGAAGTTTTCGTAAACATCTATTTTTATATATTCGGTTATCTTTGATAATTTCTCCTGAAACAAAAAAAAAAGTAAAAACTAGCAAACAAAGTAGCTGTTTTCTTTTTCTTTTATATTAACGAATTTTCAATATGCAAGCAAAACCTTGTCTTCCTCCAATTAAATTCCTTCTTGATTCTCCTATCGATAATGGTCATGGTAATATTATAATTTTTTTTTTTTAATTTATATTATATCTGATTACTTACCTCCTCCTTCCTTTGTCTCTTTTTTATTTTATTTTTTTTTTTTAGCAACCTCATTTGGTTACACTCCCTCACATTCAACTCCTTCGATGTCTTCCGTAAACGCGAGCAATGGTTCCACTTATCATCAACCACTTCCATCCATGTCCTCTCAATCTAATAACCCTGATGCTCATCATCTTGCCGCTATTAACGCGCACAATAAGCAAGTGATGCATTTGAGCAGCCTTACTTCTCAAAATCCTCACCCTAGCAACATTAAATCCTTACTATCCCCACCTGAATCCCCTGATATGGCATCCTCCTACCAACAATCACCCTTTGATTCTTACGTAGCTCAGCAAGTTTCAAGACAAGAGGAAAGATACAACATTCCTCAAGCATCTGAACAATGCAGTTGCTGTGCTAACAAGTCCTATTCAATGATGAACTCTTACGACCAACAACCCGTTGTAAATTACAATCCTTATATACAGCAGGTTCAAAGGTATCCTTCATTCCCCTCAACCCTTCAACCGAATCCAACCTCTCATTATGATCGTAAATCAACTATATCCGCTCATTCGCTTCCACGATTAAATACTACTATCTTGGGTTTGCCAACTCCTAAACATTATACTCACAAGAACTTTTCAGTGCAATTATCACCAAATGATTCTTCAAGTGGAAATAGGTATCAATGCCCATATTGTTCAAAGAGATTTTCACGCCCGAGTTCACTTCGAATCCACACTTACTCACATACAGGTGAAAAGCCATTTGTATGTACCGAACCGGGTTGTGGAAGGAAATTCTCTGTACAAAGCAATATGCGACGACATCTTAGAGTTCATCGATTGGGAAGACCTGTCAAGAAAACTAGATACGATGGCGAAGTAGAAGGCGTAAAAATATTGAGTCCTACATCGATGCTTCGAGGTTATTAAAAGAATTTCGAAATTTTTTTCATAAAAAAAAAAAAAAAAAAAAGAAAAAAAAAAGAAAAGAAAAAAAAAAAAATCTTTTTTTCCGTAAAATTTTTTAACATCTACAATTGGACATTGAAACACTTTATTTTTTTTCGTTCCAGATTTGGGTGGGAACAAACGCGTATGTTTCGATAATTTATTTTTATTTTCGATCTTTTTTTTTTTTCCAAAAAAAAAGAAAGGTTACAGCCTGTAACAGTGTCTAAACAAAGATACTTACTTTTTTTCATTCTCCCAAAAGTCCTTGGCTTTACACATCATAACAATTTAAATCAATTACATCACATCTTCAGTATACTGCTTTAATTTTTGTACATACTTAATATATTATAGCACAATATAATAGATAAAACAAAAAAAAAATGAAGAAAAAAAAGAAAATCATTCTTTTTTTTTTTTTAATTATGTTACAGGCATTTTAAATTATATAGAAGATTAAATTAATTACATCATCATCTTTATTTACCATATGCATTTTTTTTTTTCCACCCTTTCCGACAATTTTAATTTTTAATATTTCGTTTCTTAAGCATAATTTCACAATTAGAATTTTTTAAGTTTTTTTTTTTATTTTGTAACAGGTTAAAAAATTCTAAATTCGATTTAGTTATGAACTTATGGTTTTAAATTTTTTACGGCAATTTATGGTTAATTTTAGGTTATATATTTCATTTGGCAAAAAAATCTGACTTTTCATTTTATTAATTAATTAATTTTTTTTTCTCTCAACTTTGATAACATTTTTTTAATCTAAAAAAATTGATAAACCATTTTTTTATTGTAAAAATAAAAAAAATAAAATAAAAAATAATTCATTAAAAATGAAATCTTGGATCATAAGCACTTTTCGGATGTAAAAACAAATTATTAGATTAAGATTAACAAGAGGCCGCAGCAAGTTTCTAGTCTGGGAAACGTAATACTAATTTATCTAACTCGGGAGATCGCGCAAACGTCGATCATCGAGATCTCAAAACCCCCCAATTCGATCGAGAGTTTAAACGCGTGAAAAAATCAAGATTTTTTTAATAACATTATTATTATTATTATTATTATTCAAAACATTAATATAAATGACATGATTAGAATGTAAAATTAGAAACTGGCTCCTTAAAAGTGCAACCCGCAAAGTTTTTTTGAGTGATCATCAAATTATTTTGTTATTTGTGGCTTAGTTCATTTAAATGTGTTTATTTTTTTTACTTTTACGGTGATAATTTTTCATTTTGGATAATTTTCTTTTTTCTTTTATAATCCGATTCGTGCTTAGCCTTGTGTAATCCCGAACGGTTTTTGTTTATGAAAATTGAATAGAGGGTAATCAAAAAGTATTCTCTTGTAACATGACCCTTTGTGTTGCGCCACAATCTCTGCAACTCCGTATAATTTCTAGTTTTTAAAACGCCATCATAATAAAAATTTCCTCAAAAAAAATTTTTTTTTTCTTTTTCACGGTGGGAGGAATGCCCATTCAATAAAAATGTTTCAGGGAACCAAAGATCAATTCATGGAATTTTTATAGATCGTTTTTAAGGATTTAAAAAAAAAAGACGGATTCTCATCTGAAATTAATCTCCGAAGGAAATGGACCTTATTAAAATATTCACATGTGTGAGTAATTTTTGTTAAGAAATCTTGATAATGGCATAACACACCCAAGTCGGCATCGATCGAAAAATCACATGATTTTCGACATAAAAAGGATGATATCATCGTGAATGACATTTGATAACGGTTTAATCAAAAAAAAAGTCGGTAACAAAGGATGCTGAAACTAGAAACTTGGGAAATGTTATTCTAAAAAGTGGAAATGTATTTCATTCCCATTGATATAATTTCTATATCATATATACTATTAATTTACGCGTTTAAAAGCTGTGAAGGTCATTTGGGGGAAAAAAATTCAAAAAAGAATTTTATTCTACTGTTTTTTGATACAAAAAATACAAAAAATATTTATTCGGGGAATTTCCTTAATAATATTAAATAAAAATCGTTCATATTATGTTTAACCCCCCAAAAAAGGGGATGATGCCAATAAAAGAATAATAAACATAACATAATAAAAAATAAAAATTCTAAAATAGAAGGAATAAAACGTTCATTTCTTAAAGGACACAAGCATCCGTATAAAATGAAACTTACGGTGATGATTTTTAACTGAATGAAGGCGTAAGTAAAAAATGTTCGGCAACTAAAAAAATTTTTAGGCTAGAAATAAGTTCTTTCATAAAAAATCAGGCTAGACTGGTAAGATTCAGGTTGGTAAGATTCAGGTTGGTAAGATTCAGGTTGGTAAGATTCAGGTTGGTAAGATTCAGGTTG